GAGTGTAAATTAGTTCAACCATTGTGGAAGACGGTGTGGCGATTCCTCAAGGCCTTAGAAATAGAAATTCCATTTGACCCAGCAATCCCATTACTGGGTGTATATACAAAAGACTATAAATCCTTCTACTATAAGGACACATGTACACGAATGTTCATTGCAGCACTGTTTACAATAGCAAAGACCTGGAATCAACCCAAATGCCCATTGATAATAGACTGGATTGGAAAAATGTGGCACATATACACCATGGAATATTATGCAGCAATCAGAAATGATGAGTTTTTGTCGTTTGTAGGGACATGGATGAATCTGGAGAACATCATCCTCAGCAAACTGACACAAGAACAGAAAATGAAACACCGCATATTCTCACTCATAGGTGGGTGATGAAAAATGAGAACACATGGACACAGAAAGGGGAGTACTAAACACTGGGGTCTATTGGGGGGAAAAGGGGAGGGCCAGTGGGAGGGGGAGGTGGGGAGGGATAGCCTGGGGAGAAAAGCCAAATGTGGGTGAAGGGGAGAGGAAAAGAAAGCACACTGCCATGTGTGTACCTACGCAACTGTCTTGCATGCTCTGCTCATGTACCCCAAAACCTAAAATCCAATAAAAAATTAAAAAATAATAATAATAAAATAAACAGCCTGGGACAACTCCCTTCTGTCTCTCACTCCCTCTCTGACCATGTTACACACTGGTTTTCCTTCACCTTCTGCCATCACTGTAAGCTTCTTGCGGCCTCACCAAAAGCAGATGCCATTGCCATGCTTCCTGTACAAAACTGCACAGGCCTGAGCCAAGATAAACCTCATTTTTATTAAAATAAATTATTCAGCCTTGGGTATTTCTTCATAGCAGTACAAATGGACTGACAGCCCCTGACAAATTGTGACACATGACCAAAAGTGTCTTCCTAAGGATACTATTTATAAAGGTGAATATTTTGTTATTGGGATATTAGTGTGGATTCCACTGAAAAATTGGATAGGAAAAATGTGGGTGGTTCATTTTACTGAAAACCATGCAGCAGCCACAGGGTGCTGAAATAACCTACAGCCATGTGGGAATATACGAAGGATGTTATGCTTTGTGAAAAAGCAAACAGCAATAAAGTTAGATTTATAGCACAGTACTCTTTAAGAAATATGTATACACTTATGTATACATAGGCCCACAGTTTTTTGATGGCTTAAACAAAAAGAATGTTTCTATTTTTGTTTTAAAGTTCATTCAGTGCCTTCTCATTATGACGGGAGCAATTACCTTTGTTCAGTTTACTAATCGAAATAAAAATCTGTAACATTGGCATTGTAATAAGGTTTTTGGTCTTTGACCTTATTAGAGCAATTAAATCCAAGTCTACTTTCTATCTTATGCATGTATTGAAGGATCAAATGAGAAAATATTTGCAGAGTGCATAAAGTATCTAATGTACATTATTAATATGCAGTTATATTATGACTACACACTGAAAATCATGATCAACCTGATCACTTCCTGAGACCTTGAGCCAAACTTTTCTAATGATACTTAACTCTCAAATAATTCTATTCAATTTTTCAGTGGGGCTTAGGGTTTGGTCCATAAACTGCTGTCACAGAATGCAAATCAAGTAAGTCATCAGCAAATTAAAAGCTCATGCCAACATATTTTTGTGGGAATAGTTACTAAAAGAGAAAGTAATATATTGATTTAATTTCTAGTAGATGCTACTTCTGTCATTGTGAACTGGTTACAGACTTTTAGAGGTGTAACCCAAAGAAGATGGTATACTCCCTGCACAGCACAGACTCTTATTTCTCCTTATCTTTTTGATAAAGTATACAATCTGTTGGTAGTAAATCCAGATTCTGTGGTGTGTACAAAACAATCCTTCATAAATTCAAACTTATGCCTATGCTTATGTTTAATGAACTTAGCCCTCAAGAGCCAACTTGAGATCATATTCAGAATGGTAGCTCCAGAAACCTGTGGCAAACACATGAATATAAGATCATTTTAGACACAGTTCCCAAATTACCTCTACATTCAGTGGGAGAAGGTGACAAAAAACAGTATTTAGGGCATTTCGGTTAATGCCACTTCTCATGTCTAACATAAACAAATGAAAAGCTCACACTAATGCTCTGAAGCCTCGTAATAACTAGTACGGTTTAGGTCTGTCAAAAAGCCATTGCAGGTTACTGTTAAAACCAGCTACAAAACCATCTGAAAGCCATTTTCCTCCCTCTGATTAAAAACAGTCACATGTCTACTGATGATGTAGTTAAGGCTGTATCTAGATCTTCTATCTCTCAGCAGGAACATGGTTTCTCAAATGCTAATGTTTGACTGACAAAAGTTTAACAGCCAGAACTTGTGTAAGTATTGGTAGATTGAAAATACAAAATAAAACCACTTCTCATGAATGATTAAACAATTAAAAACGAGTGCAAGGAGCCCGTGTGTATTTGTGTGTGTGTGTGTGTATTCAGCTTCGTTAACTTTTATTAACTTTATTAAAAATTTAAAAATAGATTGGGGAGTAAAGTGTCATTCTTCCTTTCTCATCAGAAAGCTTTGACTCATGGGATTCTGACATTCTGTTATGCTTGCAAAGTTGGATTCATGAAACCAGTAGCTGGACTGAGCCTGCCTACACGGCTCTTACACAAGTGCTCCCTATTTCGTGCAACAAGCAGTTTCAAGAGCCTGAAGATAGTGATTGAAAGACATATGCTCTGAAGTCTCTTTATTTCAACTTCATGGAGTCACCACCTTATTAATGAAGATCAGTAAAAATCAGAATTTTCTGTGCCATTTATCAGATTAATTACTTTTCCTATAAAAAAATGACTTGCGGCCGGGTGCTGTGGCTCAAGCCTGTAACCCCAGCACTTTGGGAGGCTGAGGCAGGCAGATCATGAAGTCAAGAGATTGAGACCATCCTGGCCAACATGGTGAAACCCCGTCTCTACTAAAAATACAAAAAATTAGCCAAGCGTGGTGGTGCATACCTGTAGTCCCAGCTACCAGGGAGGCTGAGGCAGGAGAATTGCTTGAATTCTGGGAGGCGGAGGTTGCAGTGAGCCGAGATCGTGCCACTGCACTCCAGCCTGGCGCCTGGCGATAAAGTGAGACTGTCTCAAAAAAAAAAAAAACAAAAAACAAAAACCAAACCAACCAAACAAACAAACAAAAAAAACCAAGTGAGTTGGAAGGATAACAAGTAAAACTCCCTGTCCCTGCTTCCTCCTGAAAAACAAAAAAAGGAATAAATATATTAGCTCTGTTTTTGAGACAGAGATGGATAGGTTAATATTGCTTGGCTATTTGTCCTTCAACTTCTGAAAGATGGTCGCTGCATTTTTTCCCTCAATCTCTAGAATCATGGCTAATAGAAAATTATGTACCGAATTACTAATTGTATCAAAAGTTTATTCAACTTATTGTCCAAGAGCATCCTCAGATTTATTTTTATAATAATAGTAATTTAAATAATAGTAATAGAAATATAAAATATTTATAACTAAAATAATCCCTACTATGAAGAAAAGCTATGCACTGTTATGAAAGCCTTTCATATTTAGGGTTATCAGGTAAGGTTTCCTTTGGTGGAAAAGACTGAAGAGCAAACTGAGAGTAACAGCTAACTATATAAATATGGGATAGTAGTGGGAAAAGTATATGAATAAGAAGACCAAAGTCCGGGAGACAAGAAGAAGTATTTCTCACATTTGAGGAATAAAATATTACTGAGTTGTTCAGATCACTGATGTTCATGCCACAAGAGTGGGGAGAGAGAAATAAAATAAACACATTTTTTAATATATATATATATGCAGGATTGCTGCATAGGTACATACATGGCAATGTGGTTTGCTGCCTTCCTCCCCAACACCTATATCTGGCATTTCTCTGAATGTTACCCCTCCCCAACTTCCCACCCCCTGCTGTCCCTCCCCTATTTTCCCCTGACAGACCCCAGTGTGTGATGCTTCCCTCCCTGTGTCCATGTGTTCTCATTGTTCAACACCCGCCTATGAGTGAGAAGATGCGGTGTTTGATTTTCTGTTCTTGTTTCATTTTGTACTTCGACCAGATTTTGGACTATTTATCCTACCACCACTGTGAAGTCTTTGGGAGTTATTAAGCAGAGCAATTGACAATGTAAATTGTATTTACATTTCAGTCATTCTGGAGATAGCACAGAAATTTTTGGAGAGAGAATCAGGGAGAGCACCCTGGATGTGCTAACCATAGCCCAGCTGAGAGAGTGATGGGCTGGAATCCATGATTGCAGTGAAGATAGAGAAAAATTCATTCAAGAAATAGAAGGTAAAATCTGACAACACTTGGGGATTGGAAATGGAAATATGAAGAAGGGAATGTCAAGAATTACATTGAGATGTCAGGTGTAGGTAGAGTTTGATATCATTTTCTGAAAAAAAAAAGAAAAAAAACGGGAAGAATACCACTTTTAGCGAAAGAGACATCTGGGTTACTTAAAGTGTCATGAAATGGGACTTTCCCAAAATCATTCAAGTTAAAGAAAGGCTGAACTTTGAGGCACAAGAGATGGTGATGGTGGTAACAGTGGCCTTGAGACCAGGACCTGTTTTCAGACTCAAGAAAGATTAGTGTAATCTGGAGCACATAGAGACTGGAATATTTGAGTGAAAAAAAAATAAAACATTCACATTTATTCTTGGAGTCTTTTTTTATTTGAAGAAGTAAATAATTAGACCCTATTCAGAGCTGCAAATTTTGGTAAGCCCTAAAATGAACGGAATATTATATAAAATGAAAGTATTTTATACAATTCTATTCACTAAATATTTACTGATTTTCTTTCAGGTTTAATTATTATGATAGGTATTGAATAGTAATTAATTTATCAACCATCTTCTCTGGTGTGTGTATTAATACATGAAGAGACATAGTTTTAAAAGTGTAGTGTTGTTTTCAACTTACAGCAATCTTTACTTATTGTCCCAATTGATTGAATCAGATTGAGTGATGTTACATTTTGAAGTTAATGAAATATTTAAAAGGCCATGGTGATTTAACTGCTGAGGTAGTATACAAAACAGATTGATTCACATTCAATACAATTTCATAAAATAATCTTATCTATAAAACAAACTTTTTAATACATTTAGTATTAATTTATTGCTTTAAAATTTTCTATCATTTATCTCTATCAAAATAAGTTACATTTCTAGTTTTTATTTTCAACCGTAAACAGCAGCATTAATTTTTACAAACATGAATGATGAGCCATAGTCACTCATAACTATTTATGTCTAAGTTGTCTTAGATCAATTGAGCAATTTCTGAATAACTAATGGCTAGTATTTTATTATTCTATGATGATAAGTGATTTGACAGTATCCAAGCTTCTGACATATTTTTGAAAACTTATTTCTATAGGGGTCAAAATTTAAATTAGTTGTAATACATGATCCACTCAAATACATTCTCCAGAATGAGCTATTAAAATGAAATACCAAAGTGGTTCCCCAAGACGGCAATTTATAGTCTATATGTGCTGTGCAGGGTCATTGAACCAAAGCACAGTGTAATCAAGGAAATTTTATTTCTTGTCTTCTTTTTCCTAAGATGTTTCTTACTCCCAGTTACATGAAAATGTACATTACCCCGGAGCGGGGCGCTCGGCCGGGCCAGGCCCCTCCCTGGCACTGAGCCACGGCCATGCAGAGAAAGCGGAGGAGGAGGGAGCAGAGACCTCACTGCGCTCATGGCGTCGCCCGGGATAGAAGTGGAATTACTGGGCAAAAGCCATTCAGATTTGGGAGAAGTAGCTCCAGAAATAAAAGCATCAGAGAGACGGACAGCTGTGTCCATTGCAGATTTGGAATGGAGAGAAATGGAAAGAGATGATCGCGAGTTCCGTTACGGAGATGGTGCAAATGAGGCTCAGAACAATGATTTTCCAACAGTGGAGAGAAGCAGGTTTCAAGAAATGCTGTCACTTTTGGGCCTAGAGATGTACCAGGTCCAGAAGTTCAGTCTCCAGGACTCTCTGCAGATCGGTTTTGACAGCACGAAGAACCGGGTCCCTCAGTTCCCAAAGACTTGCCCTGGAATTTCCTCAGGAAGCTGCAGGCCCTCAACGCTGAAGTCAGGAATACCACCATGGTGCTGGACGTGCTCCCAGCTGCCAGGCCTGTGGAGAAGGAGAGCCAGATGGAAGAGGAGATCATCTACTGGGACCCAGCTGGTGACCTTGTTGCCAACATTTATTCCTTTTCTGAGCTGCCCACCCCGGACACGCCAGTGAACCCCTTAGACCTTCTCTGTGCCCTGCTGCTCTCCTCAGTTTCCTGCAACAAGAAATAGCGTTGAAAATGGCCCTCTGCCAGTTCGCACTCCCGCTCATGTTGCCTGACTCAGAGAACCACTACCATACATTTCTGCTATGGGCCATGAGGGGCATTGTGAGGACATGGTGGTCCCAGCTTCCAAGGGGCATGGGGAGCTTCCGGGAAGACAGCGTGGTCTTGTCCAGGGTGCCCGCCTTCGCCTTCGTGCGCATGGACGTCAGGAGCAACTCCAAGTCTCAGCTTCTCAACGCCGTCCTCGGCCCAGGCCACAAGCAGTGGGACTGCTTCTGGCATCGGGACCTCAACTTGGGCAGTAATGCCTGGGAGACTTCGGATGGGTTGGTACAAATTTCCTGTTTGTTTTTTTTTTTTTTCCCCCAGCGGAAGGGAGGACCTGGACAATTTCCCAGAACCTGTCGCCTTTCTGAACCTGAGAGGTGACATCGGGTCTCACTGGCTGCAGTTTAAGCTCTTGGCAGAAATCTCCGCCGTGGTTATATTGACTGACAATATCATTAAGAAGGAATACAAATTTCTCTACTCCATGAAGGAGTCAACCACAAAACACTGCTTCATCCTGAGTCCCTACCGTGGGAAACGTAACACAAACCTGAGATTTCTGAATAAGTTAATTCCTGTGCTGAAAAGAGACCACTCGCACGTCCTGGTGAAGGTCAGCAGCACCGACAGCGACAACTTCGTGAAGAGGATCCGGGCCATTGTTGGGAATGTGCTGCGGGCACCCTGCAAGTGGGTGTCTTTGGAGGACATAGCACACGCAGCCCGCAAGCTGGGCCTAAAGGTCGACGAGGACTGTGAGGAGTGTCAGAAGGTGAAAGACCGGATGAAGAGGATTACCAGGAAAATCAAGGACTCGGATGCCTACCGAAGGGATGAGCTGAGGCTGCAGGGGGACCCCTGGAGAAAGTCAGCCCAAGTGGAGAAGGAGTTCTGCCAGCTCCAGTGGGCGGCTGTTCCCCCCCCTGCTCCCCGGCAAGAAACACAGCGCTAGGCTGAGGTGGCGGCTGCTGGAACTTTGAATGCAGCCGAACGGCCTGAATCCCAACTCGGGGGTGCAGGAGTTCATCTCGGGGATCAGCAGCCCCTCCCTGAGTGAGAAGCAGTACTTCCTGAGGTGGACGGAGTGGGGCTAGGTGCAGGTGGCCCAGCCGAGACTGAGACAGCCTCCGGAGATGCTTCTCACCCTAAGACCAAAGCACGGGGTCCCTCAGACTTGGGGGAGCCACTCTGGCCTGAGCCCCTGGGGGTGGAACACTTCCTGCGGGAGATGGGACAGTTTTACAAGGCCGAGGGCTGCCTTGTGGAGGCGGGAAGGCTGCCAGCAGGCCAGAGGCGTTTTGCCCACTTCCCTGGCTTGGCCTTGGAGCTGCTGCTGACAGGGCTGCCTCTGGAGCTGATCGATGGGAGCACCCTGAGCATGCCTGTCCGCTGGGTCACGGGGCTCCTGAAGGAGCTGCACATCCGGACTGGAGAGATGCTCAAGGCTGGTGGTCCTGTCAGCCCTCGGGGTGCTGTGCACGCTCCTCAACACCATGTTTGGGCTGCGGTTTGCCACAGGGAAGAGCTGTGGTTCCAGGAGCCTTCATGCAGCTCAGCACAGTGGCCGAGGGCTTCAGCCAGGACCTGGGCTGTGACCACATCCTGGTGATAGACTCCAGGGGGTTGATAGGTGGGGCTTTGACCTCAGCTGGGGACAGGTTTGAGCTGGAGGCTTCCTTGGCCTGGGGCTAAGCAACGTCACCGTGATCAGCTTAGCTGAAACTAAGGACATTCCAGCAGCTATTCTGCATGCATTTCTGAGGCTGGGAAAAACAGGGGCACATGCCCAACTACCAGTTCATATACCAGAACCTTCATGAGGTATCTGTTTTTGGCTCCAGGCCAAGAGACAAGGGACAGTTCCTGGATCCACCTGGTGACCTGAGCAAAGCTGCAGCCCAGATGTTGAAACAGGGTGACGGCTTCTGGGCACTGGCAGGCCTGGCCTTCTGTGATCCTGAGAAGCAGCACATCTGGCACATCCCTGGCCTGTGGCATGGAGCACCTCCCATGGCCACAGTGAGCTTGGCCTATAGTGAAGCCATATTTGAATTGAAGAGATGGATACTTGAAAACATCAGGAACAGCCTGTGTAACCAAAACAAAAACATCCAGCAGCTCATTGAGCTGGTGAGACGGCTGTGAGTGTGCAGAGAAACCCGGGTCAGGTGTAGGCGGCTGCTGTGGGCAGCCCTGTCTGATGGGGCACCCATGTGGGGCTGTGCCCTGGTGCCTGAGAATGGCCGGTGCCCAATCGACATGAGAAGACAAGCAAAAGACAGAGGGTTTGGAGTCTCCTCAACAGTGTTAAGAGAGGAAGTGACCTCACAGACCAGCTCAGAGATGTTACCAGGAATATAACAGCCCCCAGGGTAGGGAGAGAAGCAGAAGTTTGTTCTGTCTCAGCTCCTGTCAAGGATCCTGTGGGGTGAGCCCTCTGTACAGCTGCTCTCTGTCACTGGCCCCTGGAGTGGGAGCAGCATCCTGAGTCACTACAGGCCCAGGCAGGCAGATTGGGACACTACTGTCCCAGGACAGAGGTGGGGAAGTCGTCCTGAGAAAGCAGAGGTAGGCCTTGCTCCAGCCCAACCCAAGGGGCTCCGGTGGACCAGCATTCAAGATGTAAGTGCCAGTGGTGTGCAAAGCACTCCCATGACACCATATTTATTGACTGATCTGTGAAGCCTTTTCTGACCCCTGCCAAGGAAGAGTTCATTGGTCACTCTGTTGTGCCCCACAGCACTTTGTTATACCTCTGCCACGCACTGCACGCAGTGTGCATTGTAACACATGTGTTTACATGTGTGTTCCCCAGACTGTGAACTCCTTGAGGGCAGGGACTGTATATTCTCCAGCTCTGTGTCCCCAGGGCCTGGCACATCATAGACGCTTCATAAATGTCTGTTGAATGAAAAAAAAAAGAAAATGTACATTACAAGAAAAGAAAAATTAACACACATAGAAGGAAATATAATGTGTACCATATTGATATCAGCTTTGCTTTATCTATTAAAGGATAAAACAAACTCACGGTTTCAGGATCTTGTAACTCTGTGTTCACTGGAAAGCACAGAAATTCTTCAGAGCCTCAAGAGTCATATTTAATGCATTATTCAGATAGTGTCCAACCACTGGTTAGATAGCTTAGTGCTCAAGTAGACTTGAAAATCTCTGTAGACTTAGCCGGGCATGGTGGCCCGTGCCTGTAATCCCAGCCACTCAGGAGGCTGAGGCGGGAGAATCGCTTGAACCTGGAAAGTGGAGGTTGCAGTGAACAAAGATCATTCAAAAAAACCTTTAAAACAAGAAATCTCTGTAAACTCACCTCAGTTGAATAGTCATGATAATTTACAGAAGCATGTAATACACTAAGGGATCCCTGATGTACAATGTCTTTGCCCATGAAGTGTTTTATGTGTTGATCTAGAGAGAGAGAGAGAGTGTGTGTGTGTGTGTGTGTGTGTGTGTGTGTGTGTGTGTGTCTGTCTGTCTGTCAGCCTGTATGTACATGGGTGAGTATGGGTTGTGCAGGTGTGTTTGTGTGTGTATGTGTTTACACTGTGTATGTGTCTGTTGGGATGCCACCATTAGGAATTTGGAAGCATGGAGACCATAAACCTGTAAACATGCTTGCTTCATAAGAATTATACCAAACATATTCAAAAGTAACTAAACCAAGTAAACAATTAGACATCAATTAAATTTAATGCTGGCTGGAGAGAAGTATTCAAGGCCAGGTAACAGGAAGAAATATAGCCAAATTAATGAAATTTTTAAATTAATTAGTAGAACGAGACAGGAATATTTTCTTAAGTTTTTAATTACTGGTGAATATCAGTCTATAAAACTAAAAATTACATGGCTCCCAACTGACTAAAAACAGTAAGATTTGAGCTAGTGAAATTGCCATATATGATCTTCTAACTCCATTGCCTGTCTCAAGAATGATTTGTTTAAATGATTTCTTTTTGAAATGTTACATTCTCGTCTTGAAAGAGTTTCACACAACCTACATGGGAATCTGGATTGTCATAAGACGTGTGATTTCTAAAATGGTATGTTTGTATTTCTGTTATGTACAGCAAGATCAAACATTCATTTCCTGAGCTGTTCTCCAGAACACAATTTGACTTGTAATGAACACTCAATAAATGGTTGGTTGGATAATCAAATCAACATCTTAGTTTCATCAATGTTCATTTCATATAAAATGACTGATCTTCTGTACACATCAATGAAACAGAGAGGGATGAGGGAGGGAGAGAAGTTGAGACTGAGAGGATGAGAAGCAGACCTCATGCTGCAGTGGATTTCCTGCACTCTACGCTTCTGAATGCTTGGAAACACTTACCTTACTCAAAAGGTGTTGGTATTTCCTAGGCAGAAAATGGAAGTTCAAGAAAGTCCATATTTCACCATTACAATAACTTGCACTATAATACACAGATGACATACATTTCTTAAGCTATTCAATTCATAGAAAATGTAGACACATTTAGGTAAGCAAGATCTAAAAGAAGCATTAATCAAGCTGAGTGTGATTGTGAGATTCAGTCTAATATATTATGCAATGATTTTGTAATGATATCAGTTGACATATCTGTTGAAATGAAAGGTGGGAGAGTTTCTCATGAGCTACTGAAACTTACTGCATGTTGCTGAGAGAGAGGCTGGTCCATGTGATTAGGCCAGATGTGTTTTCTAATTGTGGCTTAGGAAAGTTACGTTCCTAACCACTCAGAGACTGGGAGACAGGGACGCTAAATTTTATAACATTTACATTTAATACATATTTAATAATACGCAACAAAATCTTTAAAATGTCAGTTTTGTCTTTCCTCTAGTTTGCAGTATTTTGTTTTCAGCAAACCATTGTTTTTAGTACATACGTTTTGTGTATTTAAAAAACGTGTTAAAAATGTTAGACCAACTCTCTTTTTACCGCCTTCCCTTTTTACCCTTTACTGCCATTTACATCCACACATTCACCCGCACGTGCACACACACATACCGACCAAAATTAATTTAGATGTACAAATGTGATCTTTGAAGTAAAACGTCAGCCTATATTAGTAAAAGTGTCATGCCAGTTGGAATTATATTTATAATCCCCCCACCCTTTTTTTTTTTTTTAGAGATGACATTTCACTCCAGTGCCCAGGCTGGAGTGCAGTGGTGCAATCTCAGCTCACAGTAACCTCCACCTCCCAGTTTCAAGCAATTCTCCTATCTCCTCAACCTCCTGAGTAGCAGGGATTACAGGCGCCCTCCACCACTCCTGGTTAATTTTTGTAGTTTTAGTAGAGATGAAGTTTAAACGTATTGGTCACACTGGTCTTGAACTCCTGACCTCAGGTGCTTTGCCTGCCTTGGCTCCCAAAGTGCTGGGATTACAGGCATAAGCTACTGTGACTGGCTTTATAATCCTTTTAAGAAGAAAGAACTTCCTTGATTTTTTGAAGGGACTATTCTGTATTCATTTTTAATTTGGTGGCCATCAAAAAATATGTCCAATCATAGACATAGTGAATATAATAAGTGGTAGTTTACAGTGTTGACTTTTGGTCAGGCGTGGTGGCTCACACCTAGAATTCCAACACTTTGGGAGTTTGAGGCAGGTGGATCACCTGAGGTCAAGAGTTGAGATCATCCTGGCCAACATGGTGAAACCTCCCTCTCTACTGAACATACAAAAATTAGCCAGGTGTAGTGGTGCATGTCTGTAGTCCAAGCTACTTGGGGAGGCTGAGGGAGGAGAATCGGTTGAACTTGGGAGGCCAGGATTGCAGTGAGCTGAGATCGTGCCACTGCACTCCAGCCTGTGTGACAGAGCAAGACTCTTTCTCAAAAATAAATAAAATAAAATGTTGAATTTTTACAAGTCTTTGTTCCCATTCTAATTTTTGAATGCAACCACACCCTCTACCAGACAGCCTTGTGAAACTAATTGGCTCATAATAAAATTCTGAAGTAATTGGGGAATTCCACAAAAATTTATATTGCTCTTTTATGTTTAAAAAATTAAGAGCCTGAAAAAAATGATGTGTTCTGTAAAATTGAATTATTTTCTATACAGTTCCACTGGTTTGCAGTGTTTTATCTTTGTATTAAAGCATACTATAAAACTTTGGTTTTATGTTGGTTGATGAAAATTTTTCTTTTAGCTACTGCTGCTGAAACCATGGAGAAAAAGGGTTAATTTCTAGAACTAATTGATCATTAATTGAATGTCAGAGAAAAATTGCAAGAGACGGTGTTAAAGAGGTGGAGAAAATGTTATTTAAGGCTATTGCAATAGAGGGGAAAGATTGAATTCAACTCTGTTGAAACACGAGGAGGGAGAGTTTTGCATGAGCTAGTGAAATCTACTGCATGATGTTAGGGGAGATGATGGTCAAGGTGATTGGGCCAGATGTATTTGCTAACTGAGGATTAGGAAAGTTAGGTTCCTAACCTCTCACAGAGACAGGAAGATAGGGGCTTGGAAGATAGACTCAATATTACCTGAGTCTTATAATATGGCCATAATTGTTGCTCTTTCTTTTAACAAACAAATGCCATTAATTGCATTCAGCTTTGTCTTTTTATAACCATACTTTTTATCAAATAGTTATTTTTCCCTGGTTTGACCTTTTGTAATGACATGTTGTAATATGTTACTACATGTAATGAAATGTTACAAAAGGAATTGGCTTCCTTTGGACTCTCTAAGGTCCTATTTCTCTCCTTCCCTTCCCCCACACAGAGATAATTACTATCCTGAGGTTTTCATTGCATATTTTAATACTTTTACTACATAAATAAAATGTAGCATCAATTAATGAGTTGTTAAAATTTTCATAAATGGTATTACACTTCCAGGATTATTTCCCAGCTTGCTTTTTTACTGCTCAGCATTACGCTTTCCAAAAGCATATTTAGCTTGTTACTTTGCCCTTTTGGTGTTACATTTAAAAATCTGACATTTGTAACCTGTTTTTCATAAAATAGAAGCTTTCGTCTTATGACACTTACAGCTTATGGATCCGTTTATTTTATATAAATGATATCACTGCAGTCATTGTCATCATTATTGTTTTTGTGGATTAAGATGGGTTACTTTTGGCTACCATAGGAAAAAAACAAATACACTTCTGAGGGGCTTAAGTACAAGTTAAAACCATGAAATGGTTTCCTCCCAGCCTTCTAGAATAAAAAGCCCAACCTGACCCTCCATGTATTTGAACCTCATGGTTTGCACCTTTGATCCTCCCCCTGCACAAGCCTCTATGCATCAATAACCCCATGAAATGGTTTCTTCAAGTGAGGTTACAACTCACTTGAGCTTACAACTCCTGGTTGTGACCATGGCTCACTGCAGCCTCAACGTCCTGGGCTCAAACCTGTACTTCAGCCTCCCAGGTAGCTGGCACTACAGGTGCATTTAATTCTTTTAATTTTTTTGTAGAGGTGGGGTCCCAGCTCCTAGACTGAAGCAATCCTCCTGCCTCAGGCTCCAAAAGTGCTAGGATTACAGAGGTAAGCCACCACACCTGGCCAGGAGATTTTATTCATAAGTAACTATACACCCAGAAATTCTGACAAACAATAATTTTGTGAATAATCATGAAAATATGTCCATAATTGATACAAATGAAAAGTGGCTTTATAATTGCAAGACAAAGCCATAAATAAAGTAAAGGGTTCCTTATTCCTATTCCAATCTGTTATGTATGACCAAAGAAACCAAATACGGTGTGATACTCAAGCTTCCCTGAGTTGTAAGCACTTCTTTCTCTTTTTGCCTCTCCCTCCAGATACTAATACAGAGATCACAGATTCTCCTTATCTATTTGTTTTTTAAAAAAGGTACAAGAACTAGTTTTTAGTTTTTTTATCCTTGAAGTAGGCCATAATCAAAGTAAAGTTACATTTAGTAACCGGTTTCAATTACATGGCTATACATCCCTTTCTAGGAAAGTATACCCCTTTTAGAAGCAGACCTGACATAGAAAATCCTTGTATACATCTGTAAACTTATCTTTTTTCCTCCCTATCACCTTTTAAAACATCTTGGTGGCCAGGTGTGATGGCTCATGCCTGTAATCCCAGCACTTTGGGAGGCTGAGGCAGGTGGATCACCTGAGGTCAGGAGTTCGAGACCAGCCTGGCCAACATGATGAAACCCCTGACTCCACTAAAAATAAAAAAATTAGCTGGGCTTGGTGGCAGGTGCCTGTAATTCCAGCTACTCAGGAAGCTGAGGGTGAGAGAGGGGAAAGTAATAACTTGTGCCCCCCCCAAAATGGATAGAGAACCACTGGTTGAAGTTGTGGAGGACACTAAAAGTCTTTGAGCTGGGAAGGAGGACAGTTAAAAAAGATATGTTCACAGAGAAACATGGTATGCATTCTTTCTTTCTTTTTTTTTTTTTTTTTTTGCCAATCAGTTTGGGCTTTATGAGGTTGCTCAGTTAGCCTTGAACTGATGACCTCGCCTTCGCGAGCGCCATGACCTCCGGCAGGAGCCACTTTGGACCCCTCTTTTTTTTTTTCTTAAAGGGGCTCATCTTCCTCAGATATTCTGCCAGGTGCAGTGGCTCATGCTTCCAATCCCTCCCTGTTTCTCAAGCTTGTCTCAAACTCCCGGGCTCAAGCCGTTTGCCTGCCTTGGCCTCCCAAAGTGTTGGAATTATAAGTGTGAGCCACCACGCTCAACAGGTATTCTCATTTTTTTTATTGCATTTTAGGTTATGGGGTACATGTGAAGGACATGCAAGATTGTTGCATAGGTACACACATGGCATTGTGATTTGCTGCCTTCCTCCCCTTCACCTATATCTGGCATTTCTCCCCATGCTATCTCTCCCCAACTCCCCACCCCCTGCTGTCCCTCCCCTATTCCCCCCCAACAGACCCCAGTGTGTGGTGCTCCCTTCCCTGTGTCCATGTGTTCTCATTGTTCAACATCTGCCTAAGAGTGAGAACAGGTATGCATTATTTCTATCCCAGAGGGCATATGTGGCAAAAGTTGAATTCCTAATCTCTCAATCAATGCACTGAAGTGTGTGTGTGAACTGTGGCTCTTCACAAGAATTATCAGATGGGATCACCTTTAGAAATGAATATTTTCCTGTTTGTACTAAAAGATAGCAAACCGGTAGGCTAATCACAGTGTTATTTCAGTAGAGTTAATGTTTGGGGCTCAGATAATTGTCAGTTTTAATCCTAAAGCATTACATCTTAGAGAGGTACAACAATATTTTTTCTTTGTTTTGGTAGATATGGCTTAATAAAACTGATCAGAAAGCATCAGTTTTGAAACTAGAACCAAAGACTGTAGCCTGTCTCTTCTACTCTAGTTAGCAAAATCAAACAAAGAATTAAAATCCAAGTGGGGCACAATGGCTCATGCCTGTAATCCCAACACTTTGAGAAGCTGAAGCAGTTGGATCACTTGAAGTCAGGAGTTCAAGAACAGCCTGGACAACATGGTGAAACCCCCTCTCTACTAAAAATACAAAAGTTTAGCCAGGCATAGTGGTGCATGCCTGTAATCCCAGCTACTCAGGAGCCTAAAGCAGGAGAATCTCTTGATCCTGAGAGGCAGAGGGTCCAGTGAGCCGAGATCACCACCACTGCACTCCAGCCTGGGTGACAGAGTAAGACTCCATCTCAAATTCAAAAACAAACAAGAGAATTAAAATCCATTCAATTTTTTATCTCCTTAGAAAAAGTAAAACTTGCCATCACCCTCAAATCGAAATCTGGCAGAACATATCAGTGACTGGGCATGGTGGCTCATGCCTATAAACCCCAGTGTTTTGGGAGGCCAAGGTAGGTGTATTACTCATCCTAGGAGTTCAAGACCAGGAAACATATTGAGACTCCATCTCTACAAAAATTTAAAAATTAGCCTGGTGTGGTAGTATGTGCCTGTAGTCTCAGTCACTTGGGAGATGGGGGTGGGAGAACTGTTTGAGCCCGGGAGGCTGTGGCTGCAGTGAGCGTGACTGTTCCACTGCACTCCAGCCTGGGTGACAGAGTGAGACCACATCTCACACACACACACAAAAAGGCCAGTGGTCTTATTTAGACAAATTTCCCGTCTCCA